TGTACCACAGATAGCACCTGAATTACTGCTTCTGACGTCCTTACCTGGTAACCTCTGCTCATTCCATTCTCACTGTTCTTTTCTTGGTATTTTGTTCTTTTTTGGAGCGTTCTGGCAGCTGGGCCTTGGGTAGGTGGCAATTTCAGGTCTTCTTTCATTGGGAGAAGGCCTAGGGATCAGGTTCTACTGGTGGACTGTTCAGAGCCACCTCACATTCTTTCTCTCCTTGTTCTGAGACTTTAGTAATAGACAGTGGGTAAGGTGTAGCCACATAGGGTCCAGGACTTTTTCAAGCCCTTGTTTGGGGAATAAGTAAACGTGCCCCTCCTGTGGAGTGCTTTGGTAGTCTCACCACCTGGGAGTCATAGCTCCCAGCAGGTGTGTTTTCTCAGCTGGAAGGTCACACTCCACCAAGACCAGTTATGAAAAGGAAAAAAGACGAGTCCTTCCTTACCAGATCTGTCAGAAACCTGTTCCCATTGACTGACCTCATTGGTGCCTGAGTATTTCCTCCGGGAGCAGAGGGTTGAGCTAGCTGAGGAAAAGAGGTGCAGGCATAGTTTGAGGCAGGAAACCCAGGGTTTTGTGGAGCAGGGCTTAGCAAACTATGGCCTGTGGACCAGCCCTCCATCTATTTTTGTCATAGTTTTATGTTCATTGATGTAGGTAGAGCCTTTGTGCTCTGTTGGCAGGGTTGAGCTGTGGTAATTGAGGCCTCGTGGCCCCTGAAGCCTGTTTATCTGGCTTGCGTAGGGAGGATAGCATCAAAGGGTCTGTGAGGCCTGCCCCATTCCTGCGTCACACCTGCACGTGTAGGACAAGACCATGTAGAACAGAGAGTACAGGACAGAACTGCCTCTCTAGCTGGCCTGCCTTGGCTGGAGGAGGGGATTTGGTGCCCAGCCACGCTGCAGAACTGAACGACATAAGACTGACCAGCCTGAGCGTGGCTGACTTGGGATTTAGGACACCCTTGACCTATGGGGAAAGTAGAATTTGGTGCTCCCACTAGGGCAGAGGCATCTGCGCATGTGTCTGCCAGGAAACCAGTGTCTTCTTTGGTAGTAATAAACTATGAATGATGGTAGCAAGGTGGGTTTAAAATTGTTATTTTGGGTGGAAAAACCTACCTAGTAAGGTAGATTGACCTTTTTTCTTTTTGGTGGTGGTGCTGGTGATTGAATTTAGGGCTTTTCACTTGCTAGGCAGGCGAGATTTACTTTTTTGGAGGAGATTTAACTGTAAATACGGTTATAATAGAGCAAGTGTTGAACTTGGAATCTGTAAACAGCAATTTCATTAAGATCATACTTTTATATCTTTAGCCAAAAAATATGCAGGGAATGCTTTCATTCATGTCTTGTGTTTTTTGATCTCCTGTCTTCTATAGCTCCAAACAAATTGGAAGTGACTTTGAACCGTTAGGAGACCAGCTGCTGTCTCTAGTCTGTGCTCTGCCACACTGTCCCACATATAGTTAGGTGTTTGTTCAGGTTACTTCTCTCTACCTGGTTAGTGAATGGGGAACCAAATCTCAGAGCTTCTGTCCCTCTACTTCCCTTGCCCCTGTTCAGGACTCCCAGAGCTCTGCATGCAGGCTGTATCTCCTAGAAGTCTGCATTTTTTTGGGGTTGGGAGTACTGGGCCTTGAACCCACACCTTATGCTTGCTAGGCAAGTGCTCTACCACTTGAGCTATGCACCCAGTCCTTTCATTTTTATTTTGTTTTTGAGATAAGAGTCTCGCCTGCTTTGGGCTAGCCTGAAACAGATCCTTTTGTCTCTGCCTCCTGAGTAATTGGGATTACAGGTGTGCACCACCATACCCAGCTAGACTTTTGATAGAAGTAATTTTGGCCATACTGCAGGTTAGTGAGTAGGATTTTTCCTTTTAAACTAGGCCTTTTTAGTGGTGAGGGAGATAATTTCCAAAGTAATTGGGAGTAAGATTGCCTCTGGATTTCAGAAAGGCCACATTTATTTATCTTAACACTGTTCCTACTGCTTCTTTCATTTTATTGCTTCTTACCTGAAATGAGGTTGGCCAAGTGTACTCAGAAGTCTTTATTTTCCCTGTTTGGATGCTGGTGGCTCTTGCCTTTTCTCAAAGTCATAGGGCACTTATTAGCCTTCAGTAGCCCACACGTGCTTTCAGGGGCTGCAGCTGTGTTTTCTTATAGGCTGTGATAAGGAGATCGGCATCCTGCCCAGAGACCAGGCACAGGGCACCTGGACTCTGGTCCACTTTCTTCTTACTATGGCCTTAACGATCTTGTTTGCTTCCCTCTCAACTGGAATGTTGCCCTTCAGCGTGTTTTGGACTTTCCGACATTAAAACAAGCTCTTTATGTGAAATCAGTTCTAGAACTTAATAGCTTTGAGGTTCCAGCTATGGGTGACTTCTCTGTCTCAGCTCTAGTGACACGGGGGTCACTTTACTTGGCTGTTGACAAAAACAAGCCCTTCTTTCCTTGAGACATATGTCTGCCCTCTGAGAACCTGCTGCTGCCACCCTTGTGAGAAGTCAGAATCTGCAGAAGTGTGGCTGGTTGCACCCAGGTAGAGAAGCTTTAGTGTGCTCTTTGTTTTTCTTTTAGGACTCCATTCCTGTGTGTACCTCTCTCTTTGGAGACACTTCTGACACAACCTCCACTGGCCTTGCTCAGCGCCTAGGTATGTACGTATGTTAGTGCTAAGACCAGTCAGGTGGAACCCACTATTTAGCCATGAGGCAAGTCACTTCAGAAGAACATTCATGCTAGAAGCTGCCACCTCCTTACTGCTGGAAGCACAGACCGCTGTATGCTGAGTCTTCACAGGTCACATCTGTGCTCATGGCCAGCATGTTCCCACGGACCTCCCATCGCCTCCTTTGTTGCGCCCTTGAGGCAGTGAACTAATTTAGTTTTTCCACTGAGCACATCACCTCATGGGAGGAGAGTGAATATGCCACAGTGCCTCAGGGGCAGCTGCTCAGGTGGACCCTGGGCCTCATGGGGATTTGGTGGAGCCTTTGGGCAGGTGTCACCACTATGCAAAAAGGACAGGACTGTCCTTCAGAACTTGGTGGGGAGACTGGCCTGGGCTCTGAGTGTGGTGTAGAGTAGGGTCTGGTGCCACACAGTACGGTGGTGTCAAGCAAAGAACATGTGATGGAAGGCTTCACCCCTCCTGCATCTCAGACACCTGCTCCCTATCAATATCCAGGTAGTTGAGGTAAGAATGGTTATGTGTTCTGCCATCCCCAGCCCCAAGTGCCTGTGGTGTCCCCATCTCAGTGTTGGTGTCCTCCAGCATTCCCTGTCACTTCAGTACTTAGTCAGCTTCAGGGTCCCCTGTGTCCTGGTTGGGAATATGCAGGAAAGGAGCTCAGTCACTGTTTTTGAGCAGCTTATATTTCATTTGTACTGGTACAGATCTCTTTCTGTAGGAATATCCATCTCAGCTATCCCAGGGCCCATGCATGTGAACAGACAGCCACACCAAGGAACCACTGTTCTGCAATAATGTCTGTTAGCATGTGCAGCACCTGCTTGAAGAGTTAAAAATTAGAACACTTCTCTAGAATCCCGCTTTTCTCTTTCTGAGCATTTCCCAACTGCAGGCAGGTGTGAGGAATGTAGAACTTGTGTTTCCATCAGATTTGTCAATGTGTTTTCTCTTTTTAGCCAGGAAGACCAACAAACAGGTGTTTGTCAGCTATAACCTTCAAAACACAGACAGTAACTTTGCGTTACTTGTAGAAAACAGGATCAAGGAAGAAATGGAGGCTTTTCCAGAAAAGTTCTAGCCGAATGGCAGAAGGGAGAATCTGTAACTTATGTACAGTGTACATTTAAATAAATGGACTGAATTGTATTTTGTCATCAGCTGTGTTCATACTTTGTTTAAAGGTTCATCTTTGGGTTTTCCCTCTCCTCTGCAGTTTGGGCACCAGGGGTGCCAGAAGTCTCATTGATGGGCCTGGGGTGGAGGAAAACACGGTGGCAGTAAATACTTGACTGCTCAGTGCTAGAGAAGAAGGATGAAAGTGGGGTTTTGTGGGGATTGAAGGGTGTAATGATGTAATAAACATTTAAATCAGTCACAGTTCTGTTGCATATTCCCAATTAGAATTAAGGTTAATGTCTTTATGAATATGCTTTAGTTATCTGTTATTCTAAACCCTTCTACTGGGCACTTCTTGCTGTATTCTAAGCCTTTATCCTGGACTCCCCACCTCTTGCTTTTTTGGGGCTACATTTGAGTACCACTGGACACTTCTTCCTATATTTGCAGTGTTGGAGCAGTCTCTAACTTCTTTGGGCCCTGCTTTTTCATGTATAAAGTGGAAATAGTCCTCGTCATGCTATGTTATTGCTAGAATTAAGTATATTGAAATGCCTTGTGAACTAGAAGCTATGGCAGGTATTGCCTACATTTTTACAGATTCAAATGTTTCAGGTCCTTCTTGCTATTCCTGTTTTTGTAGCCTCCCTTCTTTTTTCTCCCAAGTAGCCGCCTTTGTCATTTTTAATCCTTAGCCATTTCCTGCCTACCACTTGGTTTCAATTTGACCTTTCCATAGAGGTTTGGATGGCCTGGGGCCCATGCTCTGGCAAGGTTGAAGAGTTCCCCACATTGTTCTTTGAACAGTAGGGTTGCACCCCATTGGCAAAACGCTTTCTAATCTTTGGGATCCATTGGACCCTCTTGTTATTAGAGGTGGACAGTTCAGGGCCTACAACCATTTCACACAGTGGCAAGAGCCTTGCACTGAGTGGGGGTAGGGAGGGGTGGCAACTGAAGGTGGCAACCCTGGTCAGGAATAAGGGCACTTCTGAGGAGTACATCTGGGGTTCCAGGGACCTCTGCAGATTTCCCACGCTAACCTCTGAGGCCGTTGTCATAGCTTGAAAAGCACAGTGAATACCTCTCTAGGAATAGAATAGTAAGTGACACAAAATCAGGGCTATGGAGAGAAGAGTTTGGTATAAATACTTTATTAAAGAAATATTTTCTTGTTAAAAAATACTACATTAGAGAAGAGAGTTTTGGGTTAACCAGTCTTTCCTCACAGAATCACAGTGTAAGATAGCCATTTGTTGACCTCTCTAGGAACCTTTAGGCCATGGATTAGCAGAACATAAACGAGAAAAAAAATTCCTCTTAAATGTATTGAGTTCTCAGGTGGTCTGAGAATGGCACTAGGTAAACAGTTCGTGTTTAATCCGGTCTCCCCTCTGACTGCCTTTTAAGACTAGGACTCTTAAAGCAGAGTGAGCCCCACCATCCCCCCAGGGCGAGCCGAGACACAGTTTACAGAGGCGTTGAAAGTAGTGACTGCAGCGAGGTATGAATCAACATGGAGGATTTTATTACTCTTCGTCAATGGTAGTGAAATGCCCTTCGTTGGATACCATCAGGTGAGGTAGGGAAGACATTCCAGAGGAAATCTGTTAATGGGGCAACATTTTTATTTCTGTACATTTACATACGAATTTTCCCCAAAGGTACAACAGAGGTGACACCATGCAGACACGTAGCTGTGAAGACAGTTCAGAACTCAATGTAAGCTTGTGCTATGAACGAGTACCACTGGAGGAACCCCCATTGACACGTATGGTCACACAGTTCTTACCGTAAAACCTCACACAGTTGGGTTGCAGAAAGGACAGAGGTAGGGAAGCGTTTCTTACTAGACATAACACACTACTGCTCTCCCAAGACACACACAATACGTTCAAGTGAGGTGGTGTCCTTCAAAGCGAGAGTTGAAGTGTGGGCCTCCCCAGCCTGTGTGCCACCCCAGGGCTGGGCAATGTGATGGTCATCAGATTCACTGAATGGCACTTCAGTTCAGGGACTTGGTGTTTAGCTCTGGGAAATGGTCGTGTTCGAGTGCAATACTTCCCTTACAAGGTCTGTTCTGCTTGCTTTCCCTGCTGTGGACAAACCCATTTACCAGCTCATCCTCCAGTTGCAGACGATTATAGTCTTAGAAAGTAAAATGCTTAAACTTTTTTCCTATTTGTCTTGGGTGCTAATAGGATATTTAATAAAGAGTTATTACTGACTTTGGAAAAGAACAAAATATGAAATACCAAGCCCTGTCTTAGGTGTTCACATTTGTGCATAACTTTTATCAAAAGGGGGTGCAGAGCACAGGGATGGGAGGAGAGTAGTGGGAGTACACACCTTGGGATGTTTCCCCAGGGGTGTGTGTGTGTGTGCGTGCGTGTATAACAGGGCAAGTGCCTAAGAAGTATCTCCTACCCATGAGGGACCCAGATCTGCCAAGTTCAAGGATGGTAGCACGGTGGTAGGGAGCTGGGGCTGAAGAGACCTCCCCCATGGAGCCAGGCAGATCAACATATATCAGGCCTGGGTGCCTGATGCCATTCTGACTTGGTACGGATTTCACAGGGCTCTGCCCACAGGGAAGAGTCCTGCTCTGGCTGCCTTTCATGTAGGAGGTTCCTCAAGAGCTTCAGTACCCTTAAGCAGAAGCAGCAACTGAGCGAGACCTCAGCCTCATCCCAAAGGTGTTCCATGGGGGAGAAGGGACTTCCTGCTTGCCAAGAGTCAGCCGGCCTCCTGTACATCTGCCATTCTTGTCCCTAGCTGAGGCCTCAAAGTCAGCTGCTGTCTAATCACTGATGGGTTAGCTCTGATTGCTGAATGATTAACACTGGCTTTGCTGACCCAGTGATTTATCATTGTCATTTGAGGTGGGGAGATTTGGAAGTGCCTTACCCTGACACCACCTTCTAGTGATTTCAGCAGCATCTGCAGCTTCCATACATCTCTTTATAAAGACCTGCACGACCAGTGTGAGACTGCTCACAGCTTCTGCATATGTCCTGTCCTGTACATAGCAGGGTTTGCTACCAGGTGACTTGGTAGCAAGTACCCTAAAAAAGGTAAAAGGTATTTCACAAGTTTGGCACGCAAAGGCTGCACAGATCTAAAGAAAGGCCTTTGTAAAGGTGACTGCAGACTAACATGGAGACATGGAACAAAGGTGACTGAAGAGTCCAAAGGTGAGCTGGACTGGAGCAAGTGCTAGGAGGGACTAGCCAGACAGCCTTCACTGTCTGTCCTTAAGCAAGGTGTTGAGACCCAGGCATCGGCTGAGACAGTGTGGGCCAGCCGCTGCAAACACAGGGCTGCATGTCTCATTACTGTCCTCATGAGGTCTTTATCAAGGCAGCGGGTTCCTGCTGATGTGTGTACCACATGTGGAAAAGAGGTGGGCAAGACAGTAAGAAACAGACCAGGTGGACAGCTGGAGGGGGAGAAACTCAACCCCTTTCTGGACCTTTGAATTCTAGCAACTGTCATCTGAAAGTCCTCTAATAGGCTACAGATTGTGATTTCCCTGGAAGAACATAGTCCATGGCAAAGACACTCATCAAAGGGCCAAGACTGATGGTTCTAGTAAGAAGCTCAGCTGCCCAGAAAAGCAGGTGCTTGAGTTGCTGCTGGACAGTGCCTGCCTGTGTGAAGGCTGGATTCTTAGCAGCTCTGGGCATCCTACTGTCTGGGGCAAAACGAGGAACACAAAGAGAACCCTGGGAGAGGGGCAGGGTGGGAGTTGAGCTTTGGTGAGTTATTGCTTTCTCTCACTTCTTGCTTCTTTCAGGGGGCTGGAGGCCATCTGGACTCACCTGTAGGCAATCTGCACTGCTGCCCTAGGCCTCTCTGCTGAGTGAGCAAGTGACAGGCAGGAAGTGAAGGAGGAAGACATGAGCGGAAGGCTTCCTGTAGGTGCTGTGGGCTCTGGTATGCCTGGAGAGTGAAGCCATCCAAGCTGGAGCTCTCCGCGGGATGTGCTCGAGATGTGGCCGTGTGTGGAAGAGCAAGGCTTCCTCCTGGGATTTGCCTTAGTTGACTTTTATAGTTATTTTCCTGTTGTTTAAAAGTAGCCACATTTTCAAGTAGTGCCAGCAACAAAGCTGACTGGAAGAGGGAATTTATTCTCTGCCGAAGCTAAATCTGGGAAGGAGTTTTAATAAAAAGTAACAACTTAGACCTCAGCACATTTGCTATTTGTATTCTTAACTAAGCAAACGTGGTGTCAGAAAACTGGTGATTTTATCACTGGTCATTTAGGATTTCTGGTGAAGTGTGGAAGTTTCCCTCAAACAGCTTCCAGCATCAAGTACAAAAGGATGATCCTCAAGGAAAAACTAAGCTGGTTTTGATGATATCTGGGAGCCACTGTCCCCAACACATGGGTCGGAAACAGCTTTACAAACAAAAAGAAAAAAAGGGACTTTAAAACATACACAGACTCTAGCAAAAACCTAATTTGTGTACACTTCGCTCTGTCTAAAATGCAGTCCCAGGAATGCTCCACGACAGTGCCCTGTCTGTCCATGGTGGGCAGCTGGGGGATGGCTCCATGGGTGGAGGGTGAGGAGCTGTGTCTGACTTCCAGGAAAGAGTCTGGCTGCTGTGTTGGTCACTTCTGGGGTCTTCCTTAAGAGTGGCCAAGCCTCACTCCCGAAGGAGGTAGTTCCACTTCGTGATCTGAGGAGAGGGAATAAAGTGCTTCTCATAAAAATGACCAAAATAAATACAAACATTGAATGGCAGAAAAGAAAGTCTCTGCAGGGTTGTTTCCAAAGAGTCAGTTTCCTCAACCCCACTCCGTGGACTTTTGGAAAGACAGAATTTACCCCCACCAGTTGAAAGTGTCACGATCGGGTGGCGTCAGCAGCAGAGTTGGATTTTCCTTCCCTGGCTATGCGTCTGCTCCCTGGTCTGTAAACCTGTGCCCAAACTTCCCCCAGCCCTTTGAGCCAAGTCCCGGGGGACTTGCAGGACAGTGGCATGTCCTGGCTAGTTACATGGACTTCATGCCATTGGCCGTGGTGCCCTCGGGCAGCCCATCACCCACAGCGGCTGTGTCGTGCAGTCCTGAGTAGTCCTTGAGCTCAGCGTTGGTGAGCAGGAGCGGCTGCTCCCCCTTCTTGTGTGGCAGCAGAGGCTGCCTGGTGTAGTGCTCCCCATTGGAGATGTTCTCGGGCAGGTTCTGGTCCCTGCTCTCGGGCAGCAGGAGGATGCAGATGATGCAGATGAGCGTGCAGCAGGCAAAGATGATGTGGTGCAGGAAGTAGCCTTTCTGGTTGTGCAGCTCGATGATGGGCGCCGTCAGCATGCCGAAGCCCGCACTGGCCAGCACCAGCCCCAGTCCGCCGCACCTGCGGGGGGAGGGAGCACACAGGGTCAGTGCCTGGTGCGAGCAGGGTGGCAAGTTGGTTCTGAGTGGGGTAATGGCTTGATGAGATCCCAGGGCAAGCTTGTGGCACTGCTGTAGTTTGAATGTGACCCCAAACTTTATGTGTTGGAAACTTAATCTTCAAATTCATATGCTGATGGCATCCAAAGGTGAGGCCTTTGGGAATTAGGATCAGATGTACTCACGAGGGTGGGTACCTCATGTTGCATTAGTGACTTTATAAGGAGAGGAAGAGAGACCGAGTTAGCACACTTGCTCTGTCTCACCGTGTAATGCCAGCACTACCTTGGGACTGCAGAGAGCCCCCCCCCAACAGGAGGAACTCATCCTGGACCTCTCAGGTTCCAGAACCATGAGCTGAATAAACCTTCGTTCTTTATAAATTATCCAGGCTGTTTTGTTCAGTTATAGCAACAGAAAATAGACTGAGAACAGAGGAAGGTCTTGCCTCTGCATTGGTCTCTACTCTGCCTGGCACCACCTTGCTTATCTGACAGGTGGGACATTACAAGTCACCTTTTTGCTGTGGACCACTGCAGCCCTGAACTCAAGACAGGACCAATCCCAGAACACGACCCATTTACCTTCCCTCTTCTGCTAAGCAGGCACACAGCATTTAAAAAAAAAAATACCCCATGGCTGGATGTGACATACCCCTGCAATCCCAGCATTTAACAGGTTGAGTCAGGAGGATTGTAAGCTGGAGGCTATGTAGTGAGACCCTGCCTCAAAAAGCCAAGCTGGGAATGGAGCTCAGTGGTAGAGCTCTTGCCCAGCATGTCAAGGCCCTGGCTTTGATCTCTAGCACTGGAAAAAGAAATTCTCCATGGCTCTAAACTCTACTTTACCTAAAAATGTATTCCTGGGGCTAAGGTGTTCTGTGGCCAGTGAGAAAGTGGTATGGTGCTGGCCTGCAGTGACACCCTGGTGCTCAGGAACAGGCCAAGCCACAGCGGCTGCCTGATTCCCTGTTACCAGGCCTTCCTAAAGGGAACAGACAGAGGTTCTCTTGTCTCCGGCAGGGAGAGGAGAGTTGCCTGCCTACTCTCAGAGCATTGGGCAGAACATACAGGGATATGAACTTCAGTTGGTTTAAGGATAACTTTCTAATAGAGCTGCGCAAGACTTATGCACCACCTTTGAACAAAGGGCCTCTGCCCTTGACATGTGAGTCACAGGGGACTGGAAGGGAGATCCCTGGAGCAGGTAGGCACTAGATAGGTAACTCTAGCTCTTGATTAGTTTGTGGTTAGCACTGCATGTGGCTCTTAACTCACAAGTTCACAGACACAAGACCAGTATACATGCCAGCTGCATGCCTATATGCTAGCAACAAATGAAGCAAAAATGAGTCCAAATGCCTAGAATAACAAAAGAAACATGACACTTGCATGCTGAAAACCACAGAACATTGCTGAGACTTAAAAAGTTAAGGAGAGATTCCATGTTCATGAATGGGAAGATGACACTGGGAAGATGGCACTTCTTCCCGAGGTGAGGTACACATTCAACTCAATTCTTAGCAAAATCCCAAATGATTTTTTTTCAGTCCTAAAATTTACAAGGAAATGCAAAGTACCCAGATAGGCAAAAACTATTCTGAAAAGGAACAAAGTTGAAGACTTAACCTTCCCGATTCCAAAACTTACCATAAAGTTATGTTAATTAAGGCAGCACAGTATTGGTCTACCAACAGGCAGACCCATGGAACATAACTGAGAATTCAGAAACAAAGTTTTTTTGGGAGTACTAGGGATTGAACTCAGGATCTTGTGCTCACTGGGCAAGTGCTCTTCCACTTGAGCCGTGCCTTCAGCCCCAGAAACAACACTGGATTTGACAAAGGCAAATCAGTGGGAGAAAGGGTTGTGCAATACCAGCACAACAGGATATCTATGTGCAGAAGAAGGTCTATGGTCCTTACTCATCCTGGAGCCCCCCAAGGGCGAGGATTATATTCCATATCAACTGGCCCACAATAAATTCTGGACGCCTGTGGATCACACTGGCTCCCTAGGTAGCAAGGTCAGCTCACACAAATGATCAGGTCAGGCTAAATACAGAAGGTCACTGCAAAGAGAAGTGATAGCAAGTCCATCTGCCAGATGTATAACATGAACACCTAAAAGAGCCATTTAGTACTTCTGAAAAATTGGGCCCTTTGTGAAGCAGCAGATGTTGTGAGGGCCACATCAGATGCCGGAGATAATGGATGTGTTTGACGGAGCTTTTTCAGACCAATGAGACATCATTTTCCCTGAAACTCCCCTGGTTTCTGCCTGTCCTTCCTGGCACTAAGTGTGGATAGTGGCCTTGCTCACATGGTGTTACTGGATAGGCAGGCAGAGTGCAGATTCCCAGGAAGGGTGTGTGGAGCCATTAAGGGGCAAAGGGTTGGCCTCAAACAAATCCAGCATAATGGCAGGTAAGCTATATTATGTACAATATGGTAATATATATTATACAGAATACTAATACATATTAACGCATTAATAAATTGATATTCACAAATCACGTTGAATGAAAGGACTTATTGTATTTATGGCTCATTTAAAAAGTATGCACATCTATACTATATGTAATATATGTTTACATGCACATATGTGTGTGACTAACACTTTAGCCAATGACAAACCTCACACACAGCAGTGGCCCTGCAAGATTATAACAGAGCTGGAAAATGCCTTCCCTGGTGACATCATAGCTGTTGTGATGTCACAGGCATCAATGTCAATGTGCAATGCACCTCTCGTGTTTGCTGTGATACTGGCGTAAACGGACCTACTGTGTTGTCACAGGATTGTGAGTTTGAGGTCAGCCTGGGCTACATAGTATGACCCTGTCCCCCCAAAACAAAACAAAAAACAACAAAAAACTTGCAGAAGTTGATAGTGTGACGCCACACAGCCTCCTCCAGCTCCTGTTTACTGCATCTCTTGACTGTACCTACAGGCCACCGGTGAGGGATGGAGCTGGGCAGTGTCAGTTTGTGTAAACCTTTAGACATTCACACAGTGACAAAATTGGATAGTGACATATTCCTCCCAATGTATCCGGTTAAGCAATGCATGACTGTGTATCTTTATATTTTTTTCTGTGAAAGCATTTTCTGTGTCTTTCTATCAAAGATTCCTTGAAATTATTCAGTGACATTAGGAGCAATTTTGGAAAAAATTGGTATGCCAGTTTTGGCTTTGTTTTTGCTTTTTTGAAATCTCTAATGGTATCCTTACATGCTTGGTGTAAGGGGCTAATAAATTCATTTCCCTCCAAAATGCAGACTTTGCCTAGACAGTTCCTGCTGTTCTTCAGCCATTCACCAGAGGGCAGCATAAGCCCATGTACGCAATTCTGCCTCCTTTTGCTCTATGAGCACAAAAATGTTAATCTCCACTGGTAACCTCTAGGTAATTCCAAAGGTAGAAAGATGGTAGAAAGGCAGGCTTATCAGATGAACCAAGTGTGAATAAAGAATTCCAGAAACCTTAGCTTAAACATCCTTAGTTAAACATGAACATCACATTTAAACACAAGAAATAAACCTTTTCCTCTTTTATATTAATTTTCATTTCTATATTTCTGTGAAGTCAATAATACACAAACTTTTTTTTAACCAAGTTTTACAGAAACAAATGTAACTGCCAAAAATATCCAGGTGAGAAAAATATTATACATTTTCATTGCTGAGGTTAGGCCTTTGCATGTACAATTCTCCCTCAGTATCCATGGAGGACTGTCCCAGAGCACCCCTGGGGTACCAAATCCACAGATGCCCAAGTCCCTTACATAAATGGTGTGTATTTGTATAGAACCTATGCACAGCCTCCACACACTTTTAATTACTGCTAAATTGCTTATAATACTTAATACAGTATAAGTGCTGGAAGTAGTTATTATACTATATTGTTTAGGGAATGATGATAAAAAAACGTCTGTTCACGTTCAGTAGACTTTTTTTTGTGGTGCTAGGAATTGAACCCAGGGCCTTGTGTGCTAAGCACATGCTGTACCACTGAGCTACACACAAATGCAAGGATGCTCACGGACCCCAAGCTGCTCACCCTCACTTATCTTGGGTTTTTCTGGGTGAAGAGGTCGAGGAACCCATGTTCACCCAGGGACCCTGTGGGAATTGCTCGAGTGTATCAGCAACAGAGAGCTGCACAAGGCCATAGGTGAGAGGGGCTCCTGGCAAGAAGTACGATGTATCAGAAAGACTAGACATGCTTCCAGCCTGGCTAGGAGATCCCCTTTGGACTCGATTTCCTTTCATCCTTTGGAAGTACAAAAATATCACCCAGGGTTAAATATTTTTTTTTAGTTTGTCATCTTGACAAGATGAACCTCAGAACATATTTGTTGAATTTCTATCCCCAAATAATGTTTCCAGGTTTGCATCAAAGTTGAAAAGGATATGGTGTTTCCTTCAGTCTAGTTTGCTAAACAAAATCTAATAACGAACAAGGAGGCTACCAACTACCAGAATTGGTGGGTGACCTCTCTCAAGAAACACACGTGATCACACAGAGAGGGGTTAAGAGAAACCCAGAAGGTCTAAGCTCTTTTTGAGAGGACCACCTCTGCAAGATTCTTTTACAAAGGAAGGAAATTCAACTAGATGAAAAAAGACAGGGTAAGTTGCTGTGTGCCTAAGAGGTTTCAAAACTGCAGGTAGAAAACAAGTTCTTGAGTGACTTCTTGCCAGCTTACTCAGAAGGGAGGGCAGGTGGGACTACCAGGCACCTAACTGCTTGTTTCTTAAACATATGGTAGCTCCATATTTACAGGAACAGAGTAGCTGTCAGCTTGGATGTATTGTAAAAATCCAAGAGAACGAATCAGAACGAGGTCATGTGAAAATGGTGCTGTCAGCATGATTTGTGCAAATTTGGAAAGGAAAAAAGTCTTGGGACCCATCTGCCTGCAGGTCCTCCCCAGCACCTGAGGGGCTAAAATAATTAGTCTCTTATGCCCCATGGGATTGAAGGCTGTTCTTGTTCTTCCCAGGGTGTTGTCATGCTGATCTCTGGGCCTCAGCTCACAGCTGAGTAACTGCCCACACTTGCAATTTTTAAAAAGCATATGTATCAGAGATGCTAATGATATCCCTACAGAAAGCTTGGTGTGCTACAGACCAAGACATGCTCTTCAGTGAGTAACCAATGGCAAGTGCAGGCTGAGTGCCTCTTATTCATAATGCTTGCGACCAGAAGTGATTGGGATTTTGGATTGTTTTCAGATTTTGGAAGATTTGCATTTCCAAATCTTATTTGTGCATGAGATATCTTGAAATGAAGCCCAAGTCTAAACATGAAATTCATTTATGTGTCATTAGTCACTTTGTGCATATAGTCTGAAGATAATTTTATAAAATATTTTAAATAATTTTGTCTGTGAAATGAAGTTTTCATGTGTGAAATTTTCCACTGTAGTGTCATGTCAGGAAAAAAATTGGATTTTGGAGCATTTTGGATTTCAGATTTTCAGATTAGGTATGTTCACCCCATACTAGGAAAACGACATAGCTTGGCTGTAGTGAAGTGAAGTGCAACCCAGGACAGACAAGTGAGGGCTGGCCTAAACCTGGGATGGGGTGGAGTGGGCTCTCAATAACTTCTTAACAAAATCAAAGTTATAACTTGCTGGGCTTCCCAAGATTAGCAATACCAGCTTCTCAGGTCAGCATAAAAATAGGCCTTTCTACTTCCCTTTTTATTTAGTCTTTTTTTGTTTTGTTATTTTTTGAGATAGGGTCTTGCTATGTAGTCCAGGCTGGCCTCAAACTTGTGATCCTCCTGCCTTAGCCTCCAGGGTAGCTGGGATCACAGGTACCCACTTGCAAAGTTTGAACTTTGTTTTTGAGGTTGCTTAGAAGCGCAGATAGCACTGACTTCACCGAAGCACGGGCAGGAGTGCTCCGTCCATTTCTCCTCTCCGTCTACTTCTCCCCTCCTCCAGTCACTGCCACATTTCCTGCACCCCAGCAACTCCTTGCTCCCTGCTCTCCTGGCTACTATCTGGATAGAATCCAGTCAAGCTCTCACCTAGCATGCCACCACACCCTGTTCCAGAAGCCAGGGCCAGACAGAGCTGATAGGATTCCTGGGACACAAGCCTGTGGCCAGGGACTCGTCTCCGGGTCCTATGGCGTCCCGCTACCCACCTTATCACTGTGGGGGTGATCTCTGCACAGAAGAACACACTTAGGCTTCCCACTGCATGGGATGCAAACATGCCCACGATGGAAAACGCGATGGAGAACTTGTCCTTGACGCTGTCACTCATCCCTGGAGAATTAGAAGAAGGGGACAGTGAGTGGGTGAGGGGGCCAGGGATAAGTGGGAGTGGGGATGCGGGGAAGGGAAGCCTGGGACCATCCCAGAGGCTTCCCTCCACCCTGTTGCCCATTTTGCTGCTCAGTCAGGGATGTGCAGCATCTGCAGACATAGGAGCCTGAAGCCTTCTTGACAGAAGACTGACGGGCTTCTAGGAGTCCCTTGTGCACCAAGCATGCTGAACTCCCAGGCCTGTAAATTCCTCAGGCAGGAGCTGTGCCCGGTGTAGGGCAGGCTAGTATTCCTTTCTGCCCCCAGCACTAGAAGCCTCTGTGGGTTGACAGATTTCAGCCTCAGGGTGAACTGCCCAATTCAAGGGGCAGGGTATCTTACTGCTGATGTAGGGGAACAAAAATTACAAATAATCCAAACAGAAGAATTCACTGGCCCAGAGGGAAGGGTTCAGCCAATCCCAATGCCCGAGCTTGGCTTGCGCAAGGTGGCAAGGAACACGCATCAGCATGCAGTCAGGAGCCACACAGCTCAGTCCCCTGCAGAGCTGCAAGGAAGGCAAGCAGTCCTTGGGTGGGATGGGCTTGCATTGGGTCAGGCAGGCGTGCAGGGCAGCAGTGGCTCTGCCATCCCAACAGGAGAGCAGCGAGCCTGTGAGTCCTGAGGGGACAGCCAAGCGCCTGGTCCTCCCCAGGCGCTGTCCATGTGACAAACTACCATCAGCACTGGGCCAGAGGCCTAGATTGACTATGGCGCCAGGAATAGGGAGGGCATGCATGCCAAGCTGCACAAAACCAGGGAAACAACAGTTGCTCTCTCTAGCAGCCAGAGGGGTAGAGAATACAAATGTATGCTTATAGTGTCCAACCTACGGCCAACTTCAGCTGCAATTCTTGGAGGGCAAGGGGGGAAAGAAAGAGAGGAAATGGAAACCAGTCTGTGAGTTTTGTGAAAACTTGTGATGCAGTACAAGATGGGGACGCACAAGCATTTGGGACTCACCTGAGTCTGGATGCTGGCTGTATTTTCCGATCACTGGGCCCGCAGAGATGGTTGCGCCCACATGCACAAGAGCAAGGAAAGTGGGAAGAGAGGGAGAAGGCAGGTTAGGTATAGGGCTACTGTAGCGTGGTGCCCATGTGACACCATGTTTCTAGGAGAACTTCCTTCTGTGTCTGGGCTGGCACCAGCCCCCTGGACAATGGAATGCACGCTGGACTAAACAAAGATGTTTTTGTTAGGAAGAGAGGGCCTCACAGCCTGGGGAGACAATACAGCCCTGCAGAACAGAGCCCCCAGCAGACCCAAAGGACACCCTGAGGGCTGAGGCACCGTGCCACATACATCCCAACTGTGTGAGCCAATCACACAGGGGAAAGGGACAGGGAGACAGATGCCACTTTTCCATTTCCATTACTGGTCACAGCTGCAAATTAGTGTCCCAGCAAAGCATGGAATGTGTAAGAATGTGGACAAGTTAAAAAATTCACCCAAGTTTGAAAGTAGCTATTCTATAATCTGCTCTATGACGCTGCTCCAATCTGGGGCGCAAAGGGACAGTCACTGAGTCTAATTCCAGCAGCCAGCTGGGGTTAGCCTTCCTTGTAAAGTTGAGTATGTGCCATTGATTTCCCAGCAGTGTCCCAAGCCTGTCGCAGGAGGGCCATGCTTGGGCTGAGAAGGTGGCCCAGTAGTCCTGCTCATTCATGCCATGCTCTGGGTCAGTCTGGGGACTTCTGGTGATTTTCTCTCACATGTAAGTGGATATTTGTTCGCGAGAGGCAATATTAAGCTTGCTGGAGGGGATGGATGGATTTCTAGCTTTTTTTTTGGTGGTACTGGGGTCTGAACTCACCTTGAGATAATCCACCAACCTTTTTTTGTGATTTTTTTTTTTTCTTTCAAGATAGGGTCTTGTGAACTAGTTGTCTGGGCTGGTTTTGAACCGTGATCATCCTGGTCTCTGCCTCCTGAGTAGCTAGGATTACAGGCTTGAGCCACTGGCATCTGGCAGGCTCTCTAGTTTGCCTTCGATTATTTAGAACATTTACTGAGAAATATTTTGGTCCAAAGAGAAGCTGATAAATTTTGGAACACCTACAGTAAAGCAATGCCCCTATGTGAGGATATCAGACAGATTTATTTCCCCCCTCTAGGTCAGAGGAAAGAAACAAGTCCTTTGTTCTTCTTTGTCATGTGATGAATCACACAGAAGTAGAGCTTGCCCATTAGCAAAGTCACATCCACCATGAGTCTGAGGGCCTGGCACACTGGATAATCACAGTGCATTGGGGAAGGATCTGAGTTGGGGCCACTGGTCTGGGGGACGGGGAAGGAGAAGGAGAGACCAGAGATGCCCTAATTAAAGCTCTCTCCTTCCTGGAGCAGTTTCATTAAGCCGATTTTAGAACGACCACTCAGGTCACAGAAAGTTTTTCTCATTCAGCCCTTCTGCTATAGTTTAAATCTTAAATGTCCTCCAAAGGCCATGTGTTGAAGGCTTGGTCTCCAGCTTGTGGCACTGTTGGGAGATGGTGGAACCTTTAGGAACCTAGTGAGAGTAAATGAAGTTATTGGGGAGTGTGCCCTCAAAGGGGATATTGGGATCCTAGCCCTTCTTTCCAGCTGCCATGAAGTGAACAGCTTCCTTTGCTATGTGCACCTGTCATGATGTACTCTCTTGCTATAGGCCCAAAGGAAATGGGTCAACAGAACATGGGCTGAAACCTCCAAAACTGTGAGCTAAACCAAACCTTTCCTCTCTTTAAGTTGATTATCTCAGGCATTTTGTTACAGCAACAGAAAGCTAACATACCTTCCAAGAACTCTGGTGGTTTGTCAACTGCCCTTCCCCAACAACCCCCTTGTTTTCCTCCTTGGCCTACTCACGGTTGAGCAGCCCAAGCTGTAGGAGCGATGCCAGGGCAGTGAGGATCATGAAGAGCAGCAGCCCTCCCCTGCGCCCCAGGAACCTGACCACCACACACATGGCCAGGCAAGAGGCCAATGCGATGCTGGCCATGGTGTAGTAGTCTGCGTAGAAATTCTCCAGGAGTGGCACCTTCACCTCGTGGCCCATCATGCTCCTTGCAAAGCAGTGGTGGATCCCATACCCTGTCAGCCTGTAGGAGACACACATACAGAGGGCGGTGGGCAGTGGGCAGAAACTTGAGGAGTTGCCACAGCTCCAGGGGGTGACCAGGAGACAGAGAAGCAACTTAGTATGTGGGGGGAAAGCACAAACCTATAAAACGCAAAGTAGGAGACTTCAAAGAAACCTTTTGTGTCACCATCTTTCATGGGAATCTGGGCGTAAGACAACTTGCTTTCTCTGAGCTAATTCTAATCCCTCATCAGCATCATAAGAACTATGGTCACGCCCACTTTGCAGGTAGACAACCAGGCATAGGGGTGGTTCTCAGCTGGCCAGGGACCTCCTCTGAACCATACTGCCTCGCTGGGTCTCTGCTGCCTCTGTGGGCTTTCAGGGTCCTGGAAACTTGGGGGTCCATCCAGGGAACTGTTCATTCCATCTACACCTGCAGCTGCTCAGCCAACCAGAATTCAGGCCAGTGGAACACACCTGGTCTTCAGGAAACCTTGTCTCAATTCTGAGTTTATCCCTGTTCCCCTCCAACAGCCCTGGGTCCAGTTCTTTGCTGCCTCCTGTGAGTACATGAACCTGCTGTGAAGTACACACCTCAATGTGGCAGATGATGACCACCTGCAAAACGGGAAGGAAAACATGGAGGAGTGCTCTCCTAGGGATGCTGAGATGCCCACATTCCTTTCTCCAGGGCTCTGAAGTGGCCTTTAGAGTGTGGCTGTGTGTGAGACACCTGTGGTACCATGAAAACCCACTTATGATGTCAGCTCTCAGCGTCCACCCCAGAGCTAAAAACTCCCCTCTCTCTCCCAGGAAAACCTAAGTGCTTTTCATTAGACCTTGAGGATGTATCAAGGTCAATGGAAACAGACCCTGCCCCCTGCAGGGGGAGCCACTTTTGCCAACTGAATGCATTCCTACTCCAGAGGAGGCCCCTCTCTGGAGGACCCTGGGAGCCATTTTGGAGTCCAGCACTTGACTCCATCAGTAGCCTGGGGTCCACATGAGCTTCTCTTCTTTCTGGCCTGCTGAGAGCTCAGAACAATCTTCTACCTTTTTCTGGCAGAAATAAAGGACTCTGACTGCAACAGGTAATTTTAAGATAACAAAACCAGGGAGATCAATTCCCCCACCCACACAAGGAACATTAAAATAAAAACCTGCTATGTTTTGTCTATGCCAAATTTTGTGTTTTTTTCAAGATAAAAGTTGGAGATGTCATTCAGTTTCTAATAGCAGACTGCATGGCAGTAGTGACTGTGCCTAGCACTGGTGCTGAGGGGAGGTGAGGCCCCAGAGCTCTGACCACCATGTAGCTGTGGCTGCTCACCTGCTCATCTGGACCTGGATAAGGATTATTAGGTCTTTGCTCTTCTGTTATTTGACAGTAAAACCTTTTGTACCTCTTAAAAATGAAACAAACCTCAATACTGAGAGCTGACTTAATGGAGCCGCTTTGACAGAAAAGAATTGTGGGGAATGGTAGGCCCCAACCCCGGGTTTCTTTTTACCTGATGGCAGCCTTGAGACCTTTCACAAGCAAGTACAAGCCCTCTCCCCTAGATGACCTCTATCCCCTAATGAGAGCTCAACACTCCAGATGACCTCTGGCTCTCAAGAGAATCCAACCGGTGCAGTCAGGAAAGGCGGGGCCAAGGAGCTTTGAGTTGAGACAGGAAGGGACCTTCCAGGTATACAACCCTCTGGGAGAGAAGCTATCACAAAACCGCATGAGTGATGGGGCTGCAGAGCCAGCAGGCAGTCCCTTGGGTGCCTGGGCTCACACTTTGGGTTCAGGCTGACCTAGCACTGACTGAATCTGTCCCTAGGTCAGGGCCTCAGAGCAGAACCCTTGCAGGTCTGGAAGGGCAAGGCCAGCTGCAGACAAGGAGCACAGCCACTTTGCAATCTGGGTGGTGGATCTAGCCTAGATTCCGCAGGTATCAAGGCCATCTGAGACAGTGCCTGGAAATTCCAACCTTGGGGTCTCCTACTGCGCACCTGAAGGAGGTACATCCCTGTGCATCTTGGTTCCCCTGTCCCTAAGAGGCACAAGGGGAGGAGGTCACCCTCATAGACTTCACAAGAACTAGAGCAAAAGAAGCATTGGGAATTGCTTTTGTAGAATGTGGAGAGAAGGCACTCTTCCAGAGATGCATCTGAGCATGACCTCGCCGGGCCTCCTGACTTCTTCCTGTCCCAAACACCTGGGAGCTCTAGCACTGTGTAGGACACAGGGCAGGACTGAAGGCAGGCTGGGCTCTGGGCAGCACCTGAGACTTCTCAGAGGGGTGGGGAGTGGGAGATGAGGGGGTTGGAGGGTACTGGGGGGGGTCTCTTGTCACCCTTTAGCTCTAAAGACAGGCAGGTCTGATGGGGTGTATCACACCTCCTGGGCCCCTTTCAGAGAGAGCTGGCCTGAGGAGCAGCCATGGGGCAGGCTGGGATTCAAAGTCCAGCTAGGGTGGGGAGGAAGCCCTTCCCAACTCAGCCCAGCACGCCCCGTGACTCACGAGTTCACACACAGCACCACGATGTTCTTCCAGAGGTTCCGTGTCCCCACCACCTTCACAATGCACACCTTCTTGGGCCTCCGGGAAAGCTCCTTCTCCAGCTCTGCAAGAGAGTGTCCATGAGCCTGGACAGGAGGCAAGATTGCAGCCAAGCCACAGCCCCTGCCATCCTTTCCAGGAGAGAAAGCCTTTTATCCTTTAAGCTAGGACACAGGGTCTAGACTTTCAGCCTAGAAATGTGCTCCTAAGACTGAACTTTGAAGTTCAAATTTCCCTACAGCCCCTAAAAGGGAGCCAAAGCAACTTTTCAGCTTTAGTTTCCATCACCAACCCTGTAGGGAGCCAGGGAGAGCATACACAGATAGACATACTGACTGATTTCACTTCTCTCTGAGCACAGAACTCAATGGTGACAGTCTAAGTTACAGAGGCCCTGCATAACAAAACTAGTGATTCTTTTCCTTAGAGAATTTTCATCTAACAGTGTCAACCATGGTTCAGAGACCTGAGGTACACCTTAACCTTGGGGGTGGGGACAGAACATTACATGACGACGGCCATGCCTGAGGCAACTTCCCTTAGAGGATGTGAAACTTTGAGAGACCAATAAATGAAATATGTGTATACAACCCCCCCCACATGCATAGGTACATATTTTAGTTATCAGAAGTCTTTGGGAGCTGGGGTGTAGCTCAGTGAGAAAGCTTAGCATGCACGAGGCCCCCAGTCCTGTCCCCAGCACCCACAAACCAACCTGAACCAAACCACACCAAAGGAAGTCTTTGGTCCCTGCATGAGACAATGTTTGGCTCAAAGGGACATGACCAGCTGTAAAGCTGTGAGACTGAGATTCACACCAGCTTTGAAAGCTATTCTGACTGGAGTCTAACAGTGCTCCAATGTCACCTTAATCAGGCCAGGAGTTTGCCAATTTGGCAATCTAACAGGGAAGCTCAAAATAAGGAAAAGCCTTGGCTTGCGTTGCTGGCTGGCCACCTGACTATGAGCAGCAGTGCCATCACTGCTTTGAGAGCCTCTGGGGTCTCTCTGCTCTCTAGCTGATGTGTATTCATGGGGACCCCTACTTAGGAGCTAAAACTGAAAAGGGGCCCTCACAAATCGGGTTGGGAACCAGCACCCTTCAAAACTGTCAAGGTCATGATAAACAAGGAAAGACTGAGAAATTGTGGCAGACCAGAGAAGATGAGGACAAGGTGATGTATATTGCAATCCTGGAGTAGGAGGGGCCAGAAAAGGAAAAGCTAGTGGTACCAAGCAGAGGCTGGTGTGTGTTAACAGCAGTGCACAAAGGTGCCCATTTCTTAGTTTGATAAACGTGTCATCATAATATTACATGTTAGCAATGGGGGAAACCAAGTCAGGAGCATACAGAAGTCCTGTATGGCTCAGCAACTTTTCTGTAAAAATGAGATTATTCCAAAATAAGAAGTGTATTTAAAATAAAAGTCATTTGTGAGGGTGAAGTGCCCTCAATCTACAGAGGAAGCTTTTAGTGCATATAGTCCAGCTTCTGGATCTATGCCTCAGAATTAACCAACCACAGGTTAGAAACATTTGAAAAAAAATTATGTCTGTACTGAGCATGGACAATTTTTTCTGATCTTTATTCCCTAAACGATACAGTACAACAACTATTTTTGTAGCACTTACATTGTATTGGGTATCATAGTGTAGAGATGATTAAAGTTTATGGGAGGATATATGCAGGCTCTATGCAAATATACCACTTTATATAAGAGATGCGTGCATTTGTGGGTTTTGGTATCCATGGGGGTATTCTGCAGATGTAGCAGGAGGGACTGTTTCTGCCTCAAAAGGGATCCCTGCTGAGCCCCTCCATGGGGCAGGGACTGTGTCTCTTCTGTGCTTCTTAGGTCATCCCCACCCTGGATGGTCTACCTCTCCTACCTCACTAGTTACAAACCTCATTCATTATAGTTTGAAGAAAAAATATGTTGCTTGGAATTTTAAAGCTTATTTTTTATTTAAACATTTTTTTTTGAGACAGGTTCTATGTGGCTCAGGCTGGTTTGAACTCCTGGGATCAAGCAATCTTCCTGTCTCAGCCTCCAGAATAGCTGGGACTAAAAGCATGTACCACCACACCTGGCTTTATTTAAACATTTTTTTTCCTACTGTCATTTTCATCAATCAGAGCATAAAAGGGACAGAAGAAAACTTTTTTCTTCCCGAGTTTCCAGAACTTCTTCCTTCTCATATTTAGGTGCAGAGATGGAGGTCTCTACACAAGCCAACATGGCTGGCATTTCAGCGGTCTGTCCATGGACAGACCCTCTCAGCTCTTGAGGTCTCCTCATTTGTCTTTTCCCCTCAGCAAAAACAGGCTAATTTGAGTTTTAGACACTCTTTCTCTATGGTTACAAAACTAAACCCACTCATGCATCGCTTAAGGATGAGGATGGGGTATAGGCTGAGAACTGTGTCATTAGGCGGTTTTGTTATGTGCACATCACAGAGACTGTTCACACAAATCTGGAGGGTCGAGGTGGCCTCTTGGTGCAACTGAGAGACATGGAAAACAGATAGATGTAAGGAAGACATTCTAAAACAATGATAAAAAGGGTGGTGTAGTGAATACATAAGGCAGTATACAGTGGTTTGTTGTCATTATCATGTGCTATGCATTGTGCGTAACTGCACGTGCTCCACTTGTGCACAACCGGCAGCGAAGTGGGAGTGTTTCCACCAGCACAGGGAGGGATGTGCTTCAGTACAATGCTACAGCAGCTATGATGTTCAGAAATTTTTCTGTTCCATTCAGATCTTATGGGACCAAGGCTATGTATGTGGTCTATCATTGACAGGAATGCTGATACCATGGCACGTGCCAGAGTTTTTAGAGAGCATGGAAGTGTTATGGTTGACAGATATTCTTAGTTCAAATCATCTGGGTGTCTTTGCTGCTATAAAACTCACCAGAAATCACCTATAACAGCTGCATTCTCAGCAGGGAAATCTTCCAAGAGGGAAATGTAAATGTTAATAAAAGTTCGTTATATAAGCTTAAAGTTTCTTTTTTAAAATGTGTCCCATTCTTAACGCTAATACACTGTTGTGTATGAGCTATGATGTTAAAGAAGCTATAACAACTGAATTATGGTCTGAGTTTTCTTTCTTTTTAATAATATCAAACCCTAAAGCCCAGACTAAGAATTGACTGTAGTCTACAGAGGTAACCACATTATTCTAAATGCAATTAAATTAACCTTTCCAGGGCTATTGACATTTTGTCAGGGTCTCCGTTACTCACATCACCAGCCCATCAACACATAAAATTTCTGCAGTGTGAAGTGTGTTCTGGGTCCAAACCCACAAGCACTGACTTGTGACGTCACCGAAACAAGACCCTTTTTTGTCTCTCTGGTTATCAGATGGAAACCTAGGGACTTTTCTAAATTCCTGACACATGAAAATAAAAATTTTTAGGGGAAAACAATGTGCCTGGACAGTTGATCAACCATGAACATCAGGAACGCTGCTGCCGCCTTCTTGACATTGGAAACATTTCAAAGTGAAACACGAGCAGAACCTACTTAATTTTGACAAGCCAGCTATGTCCAGCTCCACCACACAGCCCTGTTCTTCCATGTTTTCCTGACCCTTGTGGTCAGAGCCTGAGATCTGGGTGCTGTGAGGGTCTGACAAGCCTGGGCAGAAGCCCAGCTCTCGGCTTCTGTGAGCTCCTCACGAGGGCTGCATACAGTATTCCCCTGATCTGAGGTTTTGGTTAACTGTGATATGAAAATATTAAATGGGAAATTCTAGAAATAAGCAATTCATAAGTTATAAATAACTTTTCTTGTAGTATATTTTTACAATAGTTCTATTTGGTCATTAGTTACTGTTCTCAATCTTTTACTGTGTCTATAGTGTACATTAAACCTTACCAGGATATACATGTGCAAGGAAAAACATAGTGTATCTAGAGTTGGGTGCTATCTGTGATTTCAGGTGTTCACTGGGGGTCATGGAACTTATCAGTGCCATGGAGAAGGCTGGACTGCTGTGCACATTCTGAGCTCAGATCTGTTAGGTGGGACGACGTGTTGCTGTGAGGACTGGATGCAGGAAGGGAGTGAGGGGGTCTGTGTACGTGGGGTGCATACGTCCCTCTAGCCTTGCACCCTGTGACTGTACATCTGGCCTCTCATTACCATGGGGAGCAGGCAAAGGTGTCCGTGTACACCCCTTGGGAGGTTTATGCACCTGGAGAAGTAGGTGTGAGAGGCCCACTCTTTCCAATGATAGAGAAGGAGAAGTCAGTGGCAGCTCACCCAGATCAGGCTCAGGAGGGGCACAGCGGGATCTGAGTTGGCTTGTGGGTAGATGGGGTAGGGGTGAGAGGAGCTGGTTTCACGATGATCCTTGTGGACAATGGTAGTGGAGAAGAGATGGAAAAACAGCAGTCGTAGAGAGGAGGACCAAGAAAAGACAAAAAAAAGTTGGAGGGGGAAAGAGAAAGAGGAGAAGGAAGGGAAAACTGAAAGTGCCAGGGCAGGGCTCTGAGGTCCAGCCCATTCAGCAGCGAACACACTTGCTGTCTGTCTTCCACACAGCTCACCCCTCAGGCACAGATCTAGAATGGTGGCACTTGGTCACTAAAGTGTTTTCTGGAGTTTCAGTACAGATCTGATCATAAAGTGACACCTCAGGCAGCCAAATTCACTTTGCTGAAGCCTGAGCCAGCTCTGTGGTTCTGCCGCAGCTTCATCATCTCCGTGTGAGAGTAGAAAGGGGATCAGACGAAGGGCCCTGGGGTCAAGTTTTAGTTGCTTTATTTGCAAGCACTGTGACTTTGGGAAAGTCACCTAACACAGGGGATGGCAACCCTGGGACCATTTGGTCTTAGACCCTCTAGTCATTGCAGTCTCTGAACAGACTTATGAGACAGAGATGGGTGAGGGCAAATCCCAGCTCTACCACTGCTCAGGGCTGGGTGAGCCAGGTGCGGGCCTGTGACCAGGTTGCTGGGTTTGCCAGACTCCAGGGGGGCTGCCTGCAGAGGGCTCAGTGCAAGAGGACAAAAGTTGCCTGTGCCCTGCACATAGCTATTCCCGAGGAGAGAAAGAGGGCTGTGCACTTGCTCTCTCTTTGCTGGGCTGCCTTTCACTAGGAACCTTTCTCCTGGGCGTCTTGGGAACGGGAGGTCACTGCTTCCAGCTCTCAGCCTCTTTGGTCCCTGCTGCCCACCATGTAGTACGGAGAACTGAAGGTCCCAGCCTGATGAGGCTCTTTGCTCACCTTACCTATCACTGAAAGCACAGGGCTGAGGGGGTCTTAGTTCAGTATTTCTTTTTGTAGTGAGATGGAGCCAGCCTGACCACATTTGGAATCAGCAAGACTTTTACTACAATTATCAATGCTCAAAATCTAGGGAGTTATGACTCAGGACGGAGAACTGTGATTCTTGGGCATATCATGTGACACTGAGAATGACACTTGGAAACATGTCCAAGTATCTAAAGTAATTCACCTGTACATACCACTGAGAACATCAGGCATGCCCAGAAATAAACCAATGATATCTTTAAAAGAGGAATGGAAATGGAAAATTTGGAAGATCAGGTTTTCCTATAGCATTAACGAAGGCATGAGTCACCCTCTTATCCGAACATACCTGTAGCCAAGCTCTGGTCTGGCCCAGTGGTGACAGAATGAGCATCCCTAAGCCTCCTGGTTGCAGGAGACCTGGAGTCATGCATTCAACCAATGTTCATGGAACACTTGCTACCATAGGTTTCCTTTGGAGCCAAGGATCCTGCAGCCAGCTCTGAAGCAGAGGTTCTGCCTGGCTAAATTTCGCTGCTCTAGAGAGTGGAGGCATTTTTAAGGAGCCCGACACATCCTTTGTTACAGCAAGATGAGGGGAAATGGGGTGAAGTGTCACAGTCGTAACAGTCTAAGAGCAAGGGCTGACTTATGCTTGAAGAACTGGTCGTGATGGGAGAGAGGGTTAGAGATGACTGGGAATTTCCTAGGGTCGTTTCTTCAAGGAGGAAGAGTACTGGAGCCCAACAAAGGCCAGGGGGCCTAGGAGAGGTAGGCCAAGATTGGGCAGAGTCTTCAAGGCTGTGGGGAGCATCAAAAGAGGTGGGTATCTCCTCCAAAGGCCCTGGGAGGCCAGTGAGGAGATGTTAAGTAGGTGGTGATGTGATGAGATCATGGAGAATGAAGGCAGGGAGGATGGAGCAGAGCAGATGGACCAGTTCACTAGTTGAGAAGTAGCCAGGTAAGAGCCCAGGAGCTGGTTAAGGGACTAGCTAAGGGTGCGGGAAGAAGATTTTAAGCAGATAATGCATCTGAGCTAAGGAAGATGGAAGGGGCAGATTCCAGGTGAAATAGACATGCTATGTGCCCCAAGTGCTCAGGAGTTTTGCACAGTGCTGTTATCAATGCATCTGACAGTGAGAGGTGACAGAAAACCAGAGGTGGGTGTGACAGGGGTGTCCCACTGTGGCCTCTATAATGACCACTTTCAGGTGGGGGTGAAGACAGTCCTCTTTGTTACACCATCAAGAGGGACCAACCACTTCTTGCCTAGCCATCTGCCTGGGACACCAGAATAGAGATAAGCTGCAACAAAACTTACAGGCAAAGAAAAAAAAAAAGGAGTTAATACCACTTTCCAAAAACAGGAGGGGATGAATCAGTGCAATCAGAACTGAGAAAACAAGCTTTTCTCCACCAATATTGTAACCTAAAGGAACTGTGATGATTTAACTAGGGAAAACCTGGAAATGAATGTACTGAGACTTGAGAGCAGTCATTTGCTAATGAAGAGGGCTTGGAGAAATTCAGAGAAATTATCTGATGGTCCCAAATGGGCAAATCTGGCCCCAAGGGGAAGCCTTAATATTCATCCCTTTCCATACATCTCTCTCTCCTCTCAGAATAGCACAGTGAAGCCACTTCAGCTGTATGCCTGGGTTCAAGTCTTGGCTCAACTAGTTAGTAGCAATGAGACCCCTGGCAAGGCCACAAGACTCTCTGTGCCTCAAATTCTTCATCTGCAAATGGGGATCGTTATAGTACTGTACTCAGTGCTGTGGTGAAGAAATAGCTTGATGTGTGTAAAGTATTTGGATTAAATATTAAATGAGTTGATATTTGCAAATCAGTTAGAAGCAGGACTGGCATGTAAGCAGTACATGTCATCTTGCTTCCTGTCACTGCCCCTGGAGAAAAGGGACCATAGATGCCCCTCAGAGGCACCAGTGCTCAATACATTTCACAAGGACCAGATCTTGCTGGTGCCCTTCTCCATTCCATGGAAGTCAGGACTTGAGGTTAACCTGACCTGACCTCTCTTATCTGGGTGGAGGTATGTGGTAGGCCATGCTTTGCCCAGCAGGTGGTGGGGGGCCAAGGCACTGGCTGTCTTCAGCACGGGCTGAGGCAGGGATGCCATCCTGGCTGAGCAGCAGCACCTGGAGCTCCTAATGACCAGAGCCCCAGAGCCTTCTGAATCAGAAGTGTGACGAGAAGCCCAGGTAGGTGTTATATGCTTCCACAATCCACAGTTCAGGGCTGGGAATGGAGAGCTGCATAGCACATTCTTTTGCCTGGCTCAGGCCCCTGCTCACCTGTGCTTTGGAGCTAGGCTCACCAGCCATTCCAGCTGTGGTCACTCACTGCCACCCTCTACCTTCTAGTCCAGCTGCTTGGCCCCTACAAGTGGCAAGCACATCTGAGTGTTCCCTGTCTGCATGCATCCCTGCCCGAGAGCTCTCTGAGAGCACGGCTGCTTCCTTCTCTGCTCCCCAACAGTGCCGGGACAGAGTTAGTAAATATCTGTTGAATGCACCCATTATCATCACAAGGACTTCTGATCCCATGCATAGTCTCTTGGACTAGGACTTGTGGATTATTTTCCTGGGGAATTTAACAATGCATGCAAGGTTTTCAGGTCAGGGTGGTGCGTCAGAACTTGGGTGTACTAGCAGTTTTCCAAAGGTACTCTCTAGATCACTTGGGCCATAATCTCTGCAAGAACTTATTACAAATCCAAGTTCTGGAGACTTATTTCAGATCTACCAGGTCAATATCTCTAGGTGCCAGGGAGGGGCCCAGAAATCTGGATGTGAACAACCTCTTGTTGGCATTTATGATCTGTGGCCTGTGGTAATGTCCCTGATCCACGAGCATTCTATGGATCTGAACCATGCTGTAAAAATAGTTTATTTTTCCAGTTCTTCCTTTGCCTAACAAATAGGTCATGCCCAGAAATAGACAACGACAACTCTCTGAAGGTCATACTCAGGAAACAGAGGTCATGAAGGCCACCCACACCTTGAGCGAGGGCTCTGGCAGCTTTGAAACCTGGCAGGGCAGGCAGGGTGCCACACAGTCAAATATATCAGTGAAGATCAGGAGTATATCAGGCTCATGCCCTGATTCTGGATGTGGATGGAGTGTTTTGGACTTGACTGTGAAAGCAACCAGCTCTTGGAAAGTGGAGAGAATTTCAATTCCAGACTCTAGCTGGTACTGCTGCCCTACAGAACACATGCATGCAAGAAGAATGATACAATAAAACTGGCCCAGGAACCAGGGACCTTCTCTGTGGAGCCTCCATTGCCCTGGCCAGCCAAGGTACACTCACCTGGCATCACACCCTTGATGTCGCTCTCGGGGCTCATGCAATTCTTCTGTGTGAAGTGCAGGATCAGCTTCTTTGCAGACTCAAACTGCTGGGTAGCCATCAGCCATCGGAGGGACTCAGGGAATATCCTTCAAAGACATAAAAGGAATTGCTGAATGTCTTCCAGCTCTGCAGGGCACCAAGGAGTGGGGTTTCGGCATGGCCCTCTGCCCATTGGCTGGATGCTTGTCAACCCAACTTGGGGAGATGAGACAATAGGCGCTAAAATACATCCTCATTTCCTTTTAGAAAGTGGCTGATAGGAACACCATCAGCTGTGTCAAGGACTCAGAATGTGCCTTTCAAAATAACCATGGCTATTTTATTTAAAGAAGTTTTTTGGTGCTAGGGATGGAACCCAGAGCCTCACGCATGCTGGGCAAGCACTCTATCTACCACTGAGCTACATCCCAGTTCCATTATGGAGTTCTAAAGTATGTGTTAGCAGTCACCAAAGACTGCTGCTTTTATTGTGTTGTCACAAAATACAAATATTAATAGAGTACTGTTAAGTTTTAAAATTACTCCTAACATGAGCAACCTGGCCATTCTTTTCAGTTTCTGCACATTTGATGGCTGAGTCTCACAGTTTCTCTTCGGAATTACTTTGCTGCTAGCTGAGAGACACTTCTCCTTGAGATGATGACGCGACACAGTGGTTTTCAACTTTTATCAGCAACAGAATCTCCTTTTTTCTTTTTTTTTTTAAAGATAAAATCTCTTGAGAAGCTCCAATAGGGGGATAAAATTAGTGTTTTATTCTCAATTAGCTTTGTAAATTTACATTCACGACAATATTTACAAGACAAAGAAAAAATGTGGCTGGGACAGAGGTTGGCATACTTACTGTGTGAAAGTCTAGATAGTCAATATTTTAGCTTTTGAGGGTGAAATGGTCTCTGTCATAGCCCAACATTTAGAGAGTGAACATGGCTGTGTGGCAATAAAACTTTATTACAAGATAGGCAGCAGACCGTTAATAGGAGTGACAAAAAGTGGAACTCAAGGTTAAGGATGCCAGGCCAGGCCTGTCTAAGCTCTAGTGTTCCAGTTATGGTTCTGTTTTATTTTAGTTACATAGTCAGACAGTCACAATGGAGTCTAGGAAGAAGTCACCATGATGGCCTAACATGCCTTGCCAGTTGAGGAGAATCTGATTAAATGGAACAGCAGCTGGAAAAAGCATTACTGTTGCTATTGTCTGAAGTTGGTGACCCCCCACCCCAAATGGAAAGCCATAATAATATACAATTCAAGTTGTAGTCACTGATTTTCATTAATAATCTAAATTAATGTTTTTTACTGGCCTCCAGTTATTAAAATTAAATTAAATTTGAATAACAATTTAAGCAAAAAGAAACACTCCTATATTACATAGATATTAAAATTTGGTGATTTTAGTCTGATATTTTCTTTCTAATGAAATAACCTAACACAATGCCTCCTATAGTTTAATCTCCCCTCTCTATTATTTCCATCTTGCTGATGTGTTTGGGTGTAGTGCTTTTTTCTAGTTTCTTGAGATGGACATGCAGAACATGAACAATCATTTTCCAATTTATATAGTTAAGATTTCAAAATTTCATCTAATATCATTTCAGCTTCACGTATGATTTGATTCTAAATATTCTGGGATTTTTATTAGTGTTTCCCCTTCCCTATTATATTAGCATATATAAATATGCTAATCCTGCAGCACAAGTTGCTTTCAGTGGATTCTGAAGCATTAAAATATGGCTCACACACGCAGGAATCTGTGTCCTTTAAGATAACATTTATAGCAAATGGTTATGGGTGCCAATTCCACAGCAGGGAATCAAGGTTATAAACCAAGGTAGGGCAGGGGAAGAACAAAGTTCAGATGTGGGGGCAGCAGGGGAGGACTGCAGCCCACCTTCCAACCTCTCACAGAGCCATGTTCTCATTGCCCAGCCAGCTCAAGCCCTGTTCCTCACTCATCCCTAAGCTTTGCCCCAGGGTTGGTAGCCCTGTGACGATGGGTTTCCTACACCTGGTCTGGTTCTTGGATGGGAAGTAGAGGGCTCAGGGAAACCACCAAGCAACATGTTTGAGTAGCATCACTGGCTTTAAAAAAAAAAAAAAAAAAAGCCCTGTGTTATGCATACAAGGCAGCCATTTTTGTTCCTGGAACTCCATCAGTCTAGGCATTGAACCCCAGGAGGGAAACACAGGGACCAAAGAGCCCTTGATCTTCACAAGAAGATTCTCTTCTCCTCCCAGGTTTCAAGCCACAAGCAGAGACCAGAACCACCTGGGAGCCCTCGAGGCAGCCAGTGGAACCCAGGCCTTTGGGACTGCCTGAACCTGAGTGGTCATTTGCTGTTTAGCTTGTCCTTGTCACCACCAAGGTCAGGTTTGTAGACAACAGTTTGAATAACTAAAGACTGGCAGCAGAAAGTAGACATCTATATGAGAAATTAGCAGCCCCGTCTAGAGAACCTTTGAGAATTACAGAGCTTGTAGCAAAGGCTCAAGGACAGCTGCTTTCAAAGGCATAGTGAGCCCTCACGGTCTAGGGCCCCTCTTGGAGCTCAAGTTTTCACTGGGTTCCAAATTACTTTCTTCCAGTGTGTACTGAGCAGTTACTACAAATTCATCTCCAATGGATCCACTCCTGACCTCATGGCTGGTAGGAGACCTTTGTGACAGACAGACAAGGTGGAGCACACACACGCTGAGTGACGAATGAGTGACTTGGACAGAAGCCTGTGTACATGGGATGATTTGGGGCTGTCAGGACAGGCAGTGCTCTGCTTGGGCTGTCTTGGAAAATGAGCAGGAGTTGGTCTAGTGTGCTGCTGGGTGTGTTCGAGGACAGGACCCAGAGGGGAGGCGAGGGAGTGGGGAACAGTATGCTGTGTTTGGGAAGCTACAGGCTGGTGACGCAGCATGCTGGGTATGAGATGAGAAGGGAGAGGAGAGGATGGAGGCTGGCATGAGTATGGATGACTCTAGGCATATGGAATCTGTGGAGCAGCAGCCATGGGACCAGTGTCCTCCAGGAGACACAGGCAGGCTCGCAGTAGCCACACAACTATCTCAAGCACCCTGCAAACCACTTTCCCCATGGCTGGACTGTGACCACACTGTCCTACCAGGTTCCCACGTTAAGCTCATTACATGGTGGTCCTATTATTACTCATTTTGCAGATGGGAAAGCTCAGGCGGAGGAAGTTCAAGTACATTGCTCAGAATCGCAAAACTGTCAAATGGCGGAGCTAGGATTCGAACCCTGACAGTCTGACTTGAGGGCCCACACACCCTTAACTGCCTAGTCGGCCTCGTGTGACAGGCACTTGGGAAGACTGTCCTTGTGATGTGTCCCCAGGTGTTCCAGAATGCCACAAATCCAATGGACGCATGTGTGGAGTACTTAAGTTTTATGATGTATTCAAATTTATAAGGAACTCGTTGAACTGTGGGCCTATGGTCTGGGAGGAAGCCCAGAGAAGGCTGCATTAGTTTGGATAATGTGCTGTGTGGCTGTGTTATGGGAACTTGGTGAAATTTCTCCTGACAAGTACGTAACATGATAAAGTCATGCAAACTAAAAACCCAGCCAACAACCCAGGACCTGGGAAGAACATGGCTGAGCCTCAAAGAAATCCACCAATTTCAACCAAAAATAACAAAGCACAGAAGGCAGCTGGAGGCCATGACCTGCCTGGTTCCTCCACAGGTGGATGGTGAAAAGGTGACCTCAGAGGGGACGAGGCACAGAACCACAGTAGCTCTGCTGGTGGATGGCTTTGCATGGCTGCCAGAGTAGCTGTGGTCAGGACAGCAGCATTTTTTGCTGTTGTTCAAATCTCTGTAGCTGTCTGTTATCAGGATGCAACTCTGAGGCAAGTGGAGAAGGGTGGGGGGGGTGGGGGTTGGGGGAGGCAAGGCTAGGCCTGGGAAAAAGGAAGCTGGTTCATGGAGCAATGGGCTCATTTTGGCCCACTGGAGAGGAACAGGAAATTTCCAGAGCTGGAAGTATTCACGGTGGTACAGTAATCCCCATTTTATAGATGGGAAAGAAAGCTCAAGGATGGCGCCAGGTGGTGCACACTTGTAGTGACAGCATTGGGGAGGCTGAGGCAGGAAGATCATGAGTGTGAGGCTAGCTTGAGCTATGTAGTGAGATCCTGTTTCAAACAAACAAACAAAAAAGCTCAAGGAGGGTTGGGGATTTAGCTCAGTGGAAGAGCTCTTGCCTGGCAAGTGTAAGGCCCTGAGTTCGGTCCCCAGCACCGAAAAAAAAAAAAAGGAAAAAAAGCTCAAGGACATTGCCAAGTATGGCCTAACTACTCAAAGGCAGAGCTGGGGGCTAGCAGCAAGTGGTAGAGCCTAGCAAGTGTGAAGCCCTGAGTTCAAATTCCGGTAATACCCAAACAACATCAAAGGCAGAACTGGGATTTGAACACTGATGGTGTGACTGGAGATTTTTTAGGCTGGGAAGACCTAAACGGACCTCATCTTCACACCTGACAAGTGACTGCTCCATGCAGGTGGTTCACTGATCCCCAGGGCTTCTTTCTGTAGGAAGGTAGGGTAGATCCAAAATTCCCCACTTGTCTTGCTCATCCCCATGTGGGAGGCCAGGGGCAGGGCAAGGATGAAGAGCACTGAGGGATGCCCAGTGGAGGATAGTTCTCTATTTGCTTATAAAGAGCTATTCAGGACAAGGTTGTTCCCCAGAGCAGAATGCTCAGCCAGGATCATCCAGGACCAGTTCTCAGCTGCGTCTGAGGTTGTGTGTCTGTCCCTTCTCCCCCTCACAGAGAAAGAGAGAGAGCCTGGCTCTCCACCTACCACTCACGTTTAAGTCCCCAGGCTGGAGTGATGGAGGGTACAAGGACTCATCCCCAAGCCATGTAGTAACTCAGAGGACAGTGCAGGACGAGCAGATGGCACACGGAGGCACCATGCCTGCATTCGAGGCACTTGCTAGTTCACTGACAAGTCCAGACTGGCAGAGATTCCTCACCCTCAGCAGCACACACAGCACCCTCCCTGGGTGTTGGGTCTCCAGCGATCTGGACGTTTTGACTGACTCTATCCCAGCAGAGCTCCTCAAGGGACA